TATATCCTGTACAGGAGGTCATCTTCCTGTCCTGAACCACATTTCTGGAGGTCCATCATTGAGCGACAGCAATTTTTTTCCACTCACCTCTGTTTACAATTGGAGCTTAAAAACATTGTGTGAAATATTCACATTCTACAGGTGGGAAAAGTAGTGCTGCAAATGGGAGCATATTTTGCAAAAATTTATCAGTTTTGGCCATCCCTACGACCCATAATGATCTTGAACACAGTACAATACCAGTGCCCCTAAGATTAAAAATATTGAAAATGTTGTTTATGGCATGGTGCACTGAAAATATGGCACAATAAACAAGAAAAAAGTAAATATCTCATCGATATTAAAATTAAGGTAAGCTTCCCAGTGTTACATATTGAGAAATATACCCCAAGTTGGCCCATCACAAATATGTGGTATTAAAGTTAGAAACTTTGATGGGATAACATTAAGTTTACTACAACATTGTATATTTTAAACTATTGCCTTTGTATTTTAAATAAAAATACTTGTTTTCACCTATCAAACATCCTTTGTTGCATCTCAGGGCTTCTGATCTCTTGTAGCCACTTCGTGACTACATATAATCCAGCAATGGCTGCATGGCGTGTCTCAGGGTGGATATCCATCAGAAGTCCATGTAAGGGCTCAGGTACACTGCAGCTGATAAACTCACGTTTAGGAGCTGTTCAGCGTTTTTTTTTTTTTCAGCAGCCCCTGAACTCACCCTAATGTTTTCCTATGTGTCCACGTACACATCTTCATTTACAGTCGTTTGCAGGCAGTTGAGTTTACAGTCGTTTTTTTGAACGCAACAAACTTGCGTTCAGACGTCGATTTTATCAGCGTTTCAAACACAAACTTCTTGTAAAAGTGGCTAAATGCATCTAAACGTGTTCATAAGTGTGTGCGTTTGAAAATGTTTTTTAACTCATCCAGTTCCCAATGCTGTCCAGAACCTTTTTTCATCATGAAAAATACATACAATGAGTTTTCAAGGTGCTCAGATGGACAAAACACTGAACACAGGATGTTCCTACCAAGCTTGTCACATATTGTAATGACCAATTCACACCTCAGACCTCTCCCACCCTTGGAAAACAAAAGATATGTTATTGCTCATTCACACCTCAAATTCCTCATGAAGACCCCCTGCCAGGAGACCTTAATGACTCCCTCCACCAGACTCCTTCCCACCCTTGGAAACAAAAGATATATTAATGAGCAACTCACACCTAATCTCAACACATACTGCTGTCTCTGCTTCTACTGTGTGTATTTCTCTGAAACACTCTGAAATAGTTAATAATGTACCACTTTTCAGTGCATTCTGGGAATTTGGGAGGTTCTCCTGTGCTTATCTTTAAAAAATGCTTCTAAACGCAAACCGCATAAACGCGTTATGCAAACGCGTCTAAACAGATGTTTTTTAACCTATTACATTTTCCAGCAGTCAGTTTCCATTGTTCAGAAACGTTCCGTGTACATGGGGCCTAACAGGGTGACAACACAGGAGCACAACTAGGAGACAGGAACAGAGAGTTGTAATCCTATAACAGGAAGTGCTTGAAGAAGGACCTTGATGGCCGGATCACCAAGTATTATTTTTATGAAAGCTGCAGATTAAAAAATATATAAAAACTTACTTTTCAAATTACATTAACATGTTACAGTTTGCATGATAATTTGGCAAAATTGGCTTTACTTTACTACTCTACTTTTACTACTTTATTACATTAATGAAATAAAAGCCAGTATCATGCAAACAGTATAATGTGTACTTGTATTGAGCCAACTTGGGATATATTATAGATGTATGTGTTGGCCTATGCACCATTAATTTAAAGGGCAAAATAGAAACCCACCCCTTGAATGTTAAACTTTACAGTACTGATACAAAATACAGTATATGATTATTTCCCTTTAATATACGAATGGATGTGCAGAATATCTTTTCATAGATGTCTAGTTTCAAACAAAAGAAAATTGAAAAGTAATGTTTAATTCCCACACAGCAATTTGTGAGCAATAAATTGTATGACAAGATATAATACCATCTAAAAATACACAAGTTTAATCCTAACGATATGTTCTTCAGACATGGCGTTTGATGCCTGTCACGTCTCAATTTCTTCTCATATATCATGGCAGAAAATAAAAAGATTCATGAATTTAAATTAACACCAATATTCAAATTTTCATTTTTCACTTTGATGTCTTTCTTTTCTTTTCATTTAATGCAGCAACACAATCCCGATCGTCAAACAGCTGGCCTCTATTAAAGGTGGGTCTGATCCTCTAACAAATCATGTAATGTATGCTACACATTTAAAGGAAACCTGTAGTGATGATGTGATACTGACCGCTGATCTCTGCTTCTGATCATGCTAGTTCTTTAGTTGTATTGATGATACAGTGGCTTTGATGATACAGTGGCTTCACTACTTTCTTTGTCAATGGGGTGGATTTACTACAGTCAAATAGACTGTGCACTTTCCAAATGCAGTACATCCATTTTCCCCAGAAATTAGTAAACATGCTAAAGCTCTGCCGACTTCCATCATTCAGTCGTGTACAAGTAAAATGCTGTTTTTTAAAACATTTTCCTTGATTAGGTAGTCGTTACAAAGTGATGCTTCACCACATTTACTAAACCTGGGGAACATGAGTGCAACTGCACTTGCAAAGTGCCAAGTCTAGTTCCCTTTAGTATATCCACCCTAATGGCTTAGAACACGTATATAAATTAGATAAGCTGACTTCAATGTGACTTTCATGATATGCATGCTTGTTCCAGGTCAGAGTTTTGAAGGCTTAAACCTAGAGAGGACCAGATGAATTTTGTTTTTAGGTCTGCAATAGTAGTTTGATATATCCTTTAGTCAGGCGCGGACTGACCATTTGGAAACTCGGGCACTGCCCGAGGGCCCGGGGTCAGTAGGGGGCCCCATGTGATGCCCCTGGTACCTTTTTCATAGGCTTTTTTGAGTTTGGGCAAGGACACAGGGGCCCCATGATCCCCTATTGCCCGGGGGCCCCATGAGTTGTCAGTCCGCCCCTGCCTTTAGCACATCTTTCTTCTAAAGTCTAATTCCAGGAATGGATATTTTTATAGTTTCATTGATCCATTTTGAACCAATATACATATTTATACACCATACCTGTGGGATCCCTTCAGAAGCTGGAAATCACTGTAGTACACACCACTACCACATTAAACTCCACTATCTTCAGGGTCCCATGGCTGCCAAGACGCATTGTGAACACAGAAGGTCTCCCGTTTGGTATGAGTGCCATTCAGAGAACTCTTTGCATTTTCTAACAGAATGTAAACTGTTCTCTGATTGGACGATGTGGAGGGCTGGGGAGCTGGGGTAGTGACATTATGTGAAGCTGTAAAAATTCTGAACCTGGAATTCTTCTTTAACAAGACAAACAATCTGTCATTCTTAATCATAAAATAGCTTCACTGAAGAATGAAAGTTTGAGGTGTGTAGGTAGACACAGTAGAAATATGAACTCCAGGTACTCCATTGATGCGATGCCCCAATTAGTTTTTTATTCCATCTGAAGCCATTAGTACTTTTTGATGTCAAACAAGACGAAGAACCATCTATGTTCTCAATGAGAAGGAATGTATTGAGTTTTAACAGTCTTCTCCCTGAAGCCAGGGAAGACAGTAATTGCTGAGTTCAAACCAAAATAACAAATTGGGGATACTCCCTAAAACACAAGATAATTTGTTTCAAGGAGTTAAAAACAAAAACTTAAAGGGATTGTCCAGGAAAAATACACACACAGCGGCATTCTATGATCTAGTGTAAGCAAAAAAGTTACATAGTTGTTTTTGGTGAGGAACTGATGGATCAGAGTGGAGAGAGTAGAGTCTCAGAATCACCTTATTGGGTCTCCAGATTTTCAAATATGCCATTCATTCTGATGAGCTTTAAGAGTCATCATCAGTGAAAAGTAAAAATCACAAGATGTTTTTCACTGGCCAGATATGTAAAATCTGCCATACACGTGGCAAACTAGAAGAGTGGGTTTTCTGAACCTTTACTACTTCTCTCAGGGAATTTGCACTCCCTCTGGGAGCATCGTCTCCCTGCCCCTTACTGCTCACCAAATAGGAAATACTGCATGTATTAGGGCAGTAATGTAACAGGGGGCAAGGAATCCCACCTTTGGCTGTAAAAAAAGAGTATTCCCATTGGGGCTCTCTTACCTCTGATTGGAGGTCCAAAGGACCTCTTTACCAGTTTACAAAAGAGCAAACCATCCATATTGGAAGCTCAGATAGTTGGGATTAGTACAAAAATATTTTTCAGAGGTGCCTTTAAACTCGAGATGTTGAAACAGATTTTTTTTTTTTTGCTGACTAGCTGGGTAGAATGTGGGGGAATATTTGTATTGTTCAGTGTATTTTCCTGCCCTTGCTCACCTTCACTTTTGCTGCTTATAAATGAACGGTTGCCAACACGGCACAATATCCAGGCAGATGTAACATCATGAATGACGTACCCAGACCTAACTAGCCGATGGATGCACCACACATGCAGTAAAAATGTTGTTCCCTTTTGTGCTCATATGCATGCCCTCCGATAATCATGCCAGTTGTGTCCATACTGCTGATAGAAAGACCATGATGTAGGTAGTAAAATCGAAATAATGCACCCTAATCTAACCAAAGCTGAATTTTAGTGTTGGAAGGAACAGCTGTTTAATGCATTTACATATATAGAACATCATTTCTTGTACAACATTTCACGTTTAACAAAATGAAGTAATAAATGAGATTACATAATACAAGATCTTTGAATATAATTTCTGTTACTAAGTTCTTTTGTTGACGACTTTCTGACAGATTTTATGCAATAATTATAGACTGAAAAAAACGCTAAAAAAAAGCGTGTTATAAACCAACAGTTCCACTCAATCTCTCCTCCCTTGTCTCCTACCTAGCACTGGGGAAAGGCTCGGAGCTGGAGAAATCTGTAGCCACCATGGTGCTTGTTTATAATTCATACTCAGACAACGATGGAAAAATAAGCAAGGCTGGTGCTAAGGATTTGCTGCATACACAGTTCCAGCATTTCATACAGGTAATACAATATGTATTTGCCAAGTTGTTACCACATTAAAAATAATCTATATGGAGTTTTTCTGTTGAATTTGATAGAGGCCCTCATACTACTAAAATGAAGACTTCTCCACTAAATTAGAATGTATTAAATAATAAACCTGAACTCCAGAGAGATATTGAAGACCATTATTTAATACAATTATAACTGCCTTAAAATTTAAATAATTTAAAGTGGTAATAATGGTAATTAAAAATAAATAAATAACAAACATGGCATATTTGCCTGCTCTATACAATGGTTTTGCACAGAGCAGCCCCAATCCTCCACTTCTCCTGTCCCTTGCTGGTACTCTTGTCTGCTTCCCCCCCTGCTTAGTGCCCCCTTATCAAGCAGCTTGCTATAGGGACACTTTTATATGCTCACTCCTGAGCTCTGCTCTGTGTGTACATAAACACACAGAGCACAACTCAGCCCCACCTCCTCTCCTCCTCCTGTGATTGAGCCAATGAAGAGAGAGAGAGCCGGGAGAGATGCTGCTCTTGTGTACATCACTGGAACGAGATTGTCTCAGGTAAGTATTGGGGAGGCAGGGGCAGTCAGTCAGTAATATAAGCATAGTAGTTTTTCTTCTGAGTCTCCCTTGAAACATAGTTTTATTACCTGTTGACCCTTCCAGGTAATCCTTTATTTTTCCACATCGTTTACAAAGTGACAGCTTTGTTTCTATCTGCCTTGAAATCACACAGAGGTGTTGTAATCCTAGGGATGGGGTCCTCTAGGATGGACCTGTAGTTTTAAATGAACTTTAAATAAATGACAAACAAGTTAAAGTACAACTCCAGCTAACACTTTTTAGTCCCTTTCTGCTCAGCTCTGGTGTTCTACTAATTGTGTATTTTTGTCTGGGGGTGATTGGCTGTCACAGTGGTCACATGATCTGTAGCCCACCCTACCAGTTCCCAATCATGAATAGGGACAGTGCTGTATATGCCAGCTTGGTTACTGTGCTCAAGAGCGGTGCACTGGCTAGTGAAGGATTTCAGGTTCTTTGCTGCTCTGAGGCCGGCACAGGTCTTGCTGCCCTCCAAGGGTTGGGGAAACCCAGGAGAAATACTGGAAAACAATGAATAGACGGCATACCAGCCTTTCACATTACCTTTGATAGCCTTATTGTATAAATAAGATAAAATATACACACTCAAAAAACTCATAAATGAAGGCATATCAGAGTTCACAATCTACTCAAAGCAACCTGGTCACCTAGGCAAGTCCCAACCACAGTAGGACCATCCAAAAGGTTGATGTGTTTCGAGGGGGGGTCCCCTCTTCCTCAGAGACCGAGAACTAAATGTCTTCTCCATGATATCTAATAAAAGTGCTGGTTGGATGGATTAACTAAAAATCTTCACTCCAAAAATTGTGTGACTATTCAATTCAATTATTCAATTGCTTGGAAAAAATTTGCACATGATTGGGTATTGAAAGTGAATGGGAGCTTGATTGGTTAACTGAAGTGAAGATTCTCATACTTCTTTAGTAAATCAGCATCGATTAGGTTGATTTGCAGCCCTGTCTGCATCTTTTGACACAGACCAGGTGACTCAGCCCCGCCCCGTGTTGCCTCTTCACAGCATTTGATTGACAGAAGTCGGAGCAAATAGCTCCTGCTGCTATCAATCTGCCCAATGAGGAGGGAGACAGCGGTGAGAGCAGCTGCTCTTGTGCACATTGCTGAATCCGGTTGTGCTCATATATACACATTTTATACAACATGTTACATTTTGGAATTTTTGGAACATGTATGCACAAATCACATCTTACTTTTGAAACCCTCAACTTGAACAATTATTTGGTGCATTCTATAAATCACTTTTCAATGTGCACAATATTTACCATTAATAGTTTGTCAAGCCCAGTGTGTCCAGCCCATGTGAAATTACTGCCTACCTTCAAATACACCTCTAATTAATTCTAATCTGAAACCTACCACCTAATTGTCTGTACCGCAACACCTATCTTTAAAGCAACTTTTACCAAATACATACAGTGCGGTGAAAAATGATTTGCCCCTTTAAAGATTTTGTTTTTGCCATATTTGTCACACTTAAATGATTCGGATCATCAAACAAATTTTAATATTACACAAGGATAACCCAAGTACAAAATTAAGTTTTTAAACGATGATTTCATTTAGTAAGGGGAAAAATCCATGCAAACCTGCCTGGCCCTATGTGAAAAAGTAATTGCCCCTAAACCCCTGCTGTATAACCCAAGTGCTCTTGAGCGTAAGGTCATGAATTGATGTGTGGACATTCTCCTTCAGGATTTTCCGGTAGAGTGCAGAATTCATGGTTCCATCAATTAGGGTAAGTCGTCCAGGTCCTGATGCTGCAAAACAGCACCAGTCAATCACACTACCACCACCATCTTTGACTTATGATGTTCTTTTTATGAAATGCTGTGATCATTTTACGCTAGATGTAATGGGACGCAGACTTTCCAAAAAGTTCAACTTTCTACTCCACAAAATATTTGCCCAAAAATCTTGGGGATAATCAAGATGCTTTTTGGCAAATGCGAGACAAGCCTTTGTGTTCTTTTTGGTCAGCAGTGGCTTTCTCCTTGGAACTCTCCCATGGAAGCCATTTTTGCCCAGTCTTTTTTTTATTGTTGTATCATGAACACTGACCTTAACTAAGGCAAGTGAGGCCTGCAGTTCTTTAGATGTTGTTCTGGGTTCTTTTATGACCTCCTCGATGAGTCGTCCTTGTGCTCTTGGTGTCATTTTGGTAGGCTGACCACTACTGGGAATGTTCATCACTGTTCCAAGTTTTCTCCATTTGTGGATAATGGCTCTCACCGTGGGTTCACTGGAGTCCCAAAGCATTAGAAATGACTTTGTCATCCTTTCCAAACTGATACACGTCAGTTACATTGTTTCTCATCTGTTCTTGAATTTCTTTTTATATATATATATATATATATATATATATATAATGTGTTGCTTTTTGAGATCTTCTAACATGCTTCACTTTGTCAGACAGCTTCTATTTAAGTGATTTCTTAATTCAACAGGTCTGGCAGTAATCAGGTCTGAGTGTGGCAAATGAAATTTAACATAGCTTTCCAAAAAATGTGCTTAATCACAGTTCATTTAGCAAGGGGGGGGGGAGCAATTACTTTTTCACATAGGGCCAGGCAGGTTTGGACAGCTTTTTCCCTTAATAAATAAAATCATCATTTAAAAACTGCATTTTGTATTTACTCGGGTTATCTTTGTGAAATAATATAATTTGATGATCTGAATCATTTAAGTGTGACAAATATGCAAAAAAGAAATAATTTTTCACAGCACTGTATATACTCCACATAAATATATGTTCATGTATAACTATATATTGCCACATGTACACATTTTAATAGTATCTGTCAATAACATCAGTAGTGTGGAAATATATCGGTCACTTAGAAACAATAGGTTTCCTGGTGCTCCAGGTCAATGACCTGAAGCAGACAGGTTAGCTCTTATGACCTGTAGCAGTACTCCACACCAATCTCAGCAGAGCTGCCATTCACCAGAAACTCCACTGACACCGGAGCTCCAATGACTTGCATCCATGGTCTTTGGACACATAATGCACAATGGGAATCCGATGGGGCTAGCTGCCTCCAAGGTACAGGTCAATTTAAACACTTCAGGACTGCCCTATCTGCTATTTGCCTCTCTTTAAGATGCTATTTTTATGATACAGCAAACCTAAACTTTAAAGCATAGGTCCGCTTTAGTATGAATAATATGATAGTTTCTTTAATTTTAAATACCATAACTATTTAAATTTGTTAATTCAATCAATTAACAAATTTTATTATGTTTTCTGAAACTGAAATGTACATAAAAGTGAAAATCTTTATTTATCAAATTGAGACATAAGCATTCCAGCTGTAATGTCAACAATGGTTGCCCAATAGTTTATTAATATCAAATCCAATTCCCACATTTTTTTCCCTTTTATAACACTATTATTTAATGGCCCGCTGGAATTGAGCCCTGCAGGCAGGTCTTTTGTAGAACTTTTTATGACAGGACACTTTGACAGTAGGGAGTGCCATATATGCATTATTTATCAAGGTATTTAACCCTATAGCCTCCAGCTGTCTATTTGTTGCTAAGAGACTGTAGGGAGGACGAGAAGAGACAATAGTTGAAACAGCCAAAGCATATATGTCTGCTGGTGCTTATAAAGTTGATTGGATGATAGGACAAAGGGGCAAACAGGTTTGGTGACCCCTATTAGGGTAAACATGCTTCTTGAAGCTACATGATTTTAAATATTGCCTTGTGTGTTGTGCCATGAGGCTAATCAGTAGGTAGTGCAGAATAGGGAATGCATAGTATGGCATATTGGATGAGGAGGTGCAGAATAGGGAATGCATAGTATGGCATATTGGATGAGGAGATGCAGAATAGAGACATGTACAACATGCCTTGCAGAATACAATGGTATGGAATAGGGTTTATGCGTCATGGCATAAGAAATGAGCCTTCCAAAATAGGGAATGTACAGCATAGCATGCATAATGAGTAATTGCAGTTTACAGAATGATGGCATTTGCAATGAGGTGTAACTGAAGTGGTATATGGAACTTGCCGCTGTCACTTGCAGCCGGCCTGAAGCGTGCAGAGGAAGTCTTCCACCACATATGTGTTTAGTCATAGGGTCTAAGCCCTGGTTGGTAAGGAGAAATGCATCAGAGTGTGTGGTTTGGTGGAAATATGTAGACTTTCATTATCATTTATTCACCTGGGATGGTTGAAAGTAGCGGCGATCCTTTTCTCTTTACAAGAACTAGCCCTCTGGGTTAGTGTTAGAGTTACAGTACATGGAAGGTAATATTAAAGCTAGGGTTACATGAATGGTTAGTGTGAAGAATCCTTTAGAGTAGCACATCTTTCTGTAGGCCACGGGCTCTGTGACATAAATACCAGTGCTGGGCACCAAAAGCATACATTCTGCCAA